AGAACCTATTGCAATAAAACGGCAATTTCATACTTTAACCCCTAATAGAACACGTATACTATACGACATACATTTTATAAACGGCTTTAATTTTGTTTGTAAAAAAATTAATTCTGAAATAAAGCCAATGTCAGAACCGTATTAGTATGGGAAAAAATTGAATTCAAGCTGAGGTAGTATGGAGTCGTAAAACTCAAAACACTCCCCTGAAAAATCTACGAAAAGTTCCTTGCGCCCTTAGTACATCATAATACCCACGGTATTTGTTGAAACTTTTTAGATCAATTAGGCAAAGGAAGTATGAGGAATATTAAAATCGAAATCACATAGCTACTTACCAACTCTCCCAATAAGACAGCTCGCATCAACAACGCGACTCTTAATAATCATATTACTCAAAAGTTTCTGACATTTACTCGCCATGTCAATATACTTCAAGGAAAATCCAAACTGTTCATTCGCATAACTATATTCAGCCAGAGTCGCATATGCTAAGCATATCTTCTCATAAAGGAGCGTTTTTAAATGCAACTTCCATGCAAAGTTGTCGTCACGATTCGGTTCCTGCCAGGTTGGAAACTTTTTATTTTCTTTTCTAATTAAAATTGCGTTTTTATCTACATATCTTGTGTGTTCAATTAAGTAGTTTTCCGATTCGAGTTTATCTGTTTTTTCTGTGTTTTTCCGTTCTTTTTTTCTGCGCCTGCTTCGTGATACGTGTTCTTTGGATTCTTGCGGTTTTGTTATGGGCTCGTAGTTCATTTTGATTGGTTCGTACGGATTCGCCATTTTAGGGTGTTTCTCTTCTATGATGATTTGCTGTCTCAGCCGTTCACGTTCTTCTTCCTAATAAATTACATGTTATATATATTTTTTTAATTGTACCAAGTAACAGGACAAACAGGTCGTGGGCCAGCAGTTGCAGTGTCACTTAGAACTTTAAATCACCAGCCACCCTGAGACATAAGTTAACAGGTTACATGCGCTTGTAATTTCACCAGCAAATATAACTACTGGTTCTAGACTTCAAAGCAAAATAGAGAATAGACATAAGGTCCCATAAGCACGCATTTTTGGGCATTATTTATTGTAATTCTCGAGTTCTTAGGTTTTCCCAATTGCTACTCATACAAAGTGAATTTTAATTAATGAAATTATCTGGAAGAAGTAAAGGTCCCAAAACGTTGGTTTGTTTGAAAAAAACAAGCATACGCAGTTCAGATCCATAAAATTAGTTTCATTTTCCGATTACATTGTAATGCAGAATTTGACGTTTTCAGATGAATGTTTCAAAACACTTCGAAGACATATAAGCTCGAATTAACATTGGGTTCGTGAGACTTTAGACCAGGGTTTCTTAACCTGTGGTCCATGGACCCCTAAGGGGTCCGTGTAATGACCGCTGGGGGCTAATTAATATTAGGTGATTTTTTTATGTCACTCCTTGTATCTACTCGTATAATGTAGACATTTATCTCCTATTCCGACCATCGTTTTACCAAAATCATTAGGAATCAGCGTGTTTGTTCTGGAACTTAATTAAGTTTCTAGTACCATTATTGTTACAGTACTTACTCTGCACTTGTCATATGTGATGTTATGTAAGGCTTGAAGCCCTCTCAAGGCATGCTGCAAGGCGCGCCCGCAGCGGTCGGGCGGTTCCACGCCAAGACCTTTACCGCGGCGCGATTTGCGTTTTTGATCCTAAATGATATACAAATAATGTTGAATACTTGGAATACAAAGTCACACCCGTCACACGTCCAAACTGTGCTTTTATATTTATTTATGTTAGTCACAAAATCGATAAATGTGTAGTTCATTGTAAAAGTGAATTATGTCCTAGTAATTAAATGTTGATATAATGAGCTGTTAGCAAAAAACTAGTAATGCCATCTACAGGATGTTAGTGAAATTATTTGAGTTATTTTACTTTTATAATGAAAGCTATGACTAAATGTGATACTATTAAGCAAATATGTGTTTTAAAATATGGACATACACTATTTTTATAATGATCGACACAAATATTGCTTACATTTCACTTCGAAAAGGCGACTTCTTACGAAGAAATTAACAACTTTTTCACATGTTTTTGAGGCGCAACATTGTGGCATGCATCGTATATGCGTTAGTAAAATTGTAAAGTTATAAAAAGTGTAACAAAAAGGTACGTAAAGGTGTAACCCCATGAAATTGATATAAAAATAATGATGTGTTTCAAATTAGCCAAACTGTTTACAGTAATCATTTAAGATCAATGTATAATTACTAATATTTTCTATACATGAAAACATCATTCAAATACATAATAATTATGTACTTTAGCATAATTTCAAATAATATTGTAGAAAAAAACTAAATCTGGGTTACACAACTTTCGCTCTGATAATCTCATTTCAGGTAATGATTGTAGTCACATACAATAGCTCAAAAACATTGTTAAAATTGTATAAAGTATTACATGTGGGACGGAAATTAAGATAGTTACACTAAAAATTAACTAGGATGATCCCTGTGACAGTTCATGAAATCTACAAAACATGACCTAGTAATGAGTTAATGACATACACTAATTATACATGTTTCATAAACTATTTTTAAAACATTATTTTTTTAGACAATGTGCAAAGGTTAGCTCATTACATTGCATTTGCTAGAGATGAGGCATATCGACTTTTTTGTATTATTTAATTAATAAATGTATAGTGCGTGTTTTCATTCTTAAAGTATACATTTTAATCACAGGCAATGAATTGACGTGTCAGTGTCATTACTTTTTTTGCATACATTGCATCTGTGACGGTTTGCTAGAAGACGTCGTCGGTTCGAATCTGGCTGGATCGAAGAAATTTTTTCAGTGTTCGATCTTTGTATTGTAACGTTGTAAATTAATAATATTTTATTTGTTTTATTTATTGTAAAGAAAGATGTATTCGAAGGAGTCTCGTGTCCAGCAGTGGAACGTATAGTTAGGGATATCGAGCGAGGAATGCGCGCGAGCCATTTTTTATAGGCGACAACTGGTTCAGTTCCTCGCCCCCCTTGCGGGGTATCAGCCAAGCCACTGTCCCGCTACCGCTTGGACGACGGCGACTCCGAAATCTATCTTAGCGAGAGACGCACGCACATTTCTTTAATAATAGCGTTTTCGTATGCGGTCTCCGCGTGTACTTACATTTATTTTTGTAATTTAAAGTAATTGTTTTTAAACCCACTTGTTTGGTAAGTGTTGAACAGGTATCTTTCTTTTGCCTATTATGCTTTCTAGTAACGCTTATTTAAATTGTAGTCGTACCGGTTTTTTTATTTTGTAATGTTTGTCTATTTTTGTAATTTGAAATGTTTTGTGTAGTTTTGTAATTTCCATGTTAACTCCGTTCTGATTGTGACAATCACGCAACACTGCATACGTAATATGGTGCTTTTCCCACTTCTTTGTTCACTGCCGATGTCACGGTCAGGGGAGCAAACCGTGGACAATTGCTAACTGGACCAATGGGTATTCCAGGGTCCGAGGTTCCCGGTACTTTATTACCGTTCTCCGCTTCGGCTGGCCTGAGCCCAGAGATCGACACCGTACCCCGGACGTCTATTCGGCGGACGGCTGTTAACCCGCACCCCGGACTTCATTTCGGCGAACGGATCCAGTCCTGTTCCGGTTCATCCAACCCCGAACGTTACTTCGGCGGAATAGCCAGGGGAGTACCAGCTGCTGGTCGTAGAAGGGCAAAACGTGAAGTGAATAACCGTTGGGTTTTAAACGAACCGCGGCCAAATAAATTTGTTTACAAAAGGGTACTTCCTTCTTTTATTTAGAACTTCCCCCGTAATAGTATTAATAATTATAACAAAGTAATTGAGTAATTTCACATAAAAAATAATTGAATAACAATTCAATAAAAATTTAAATGATAAATGTTTTTAGAAATTTACTAAAATATCAATTGAAATGACTTTTCAATTACAGTTGTGTAGTTTATGCCTTCAATAAAATACTTCACACAGATACATCATTCAGAATACGTCAGAAAAATAAAACTATAAGAGAGACCTTTTATTTAAAAAATCAAACACACTAAAAATCTATCGACATTGCCTTATCCCTTTGACAAACGTCAAATGAAGAGTCACAGGGATGATCATTTAGTAAGTTGTCATCATCATGTCAGCCGGAAGACGTCCGCCGCTGAACATAGGCCTCCCCCAAAGATTTCCAGACCAGCCGATCGGACGAGACGTGCATTCATCGGTTACCCGCCGCCCTTACCAGGTCATCCGTCCATCTTGTAAGGGGCCGTCCCACTGAACGCCTTCCAGTTGGTGGTCTCCATTCAAGAACCTTTCTGCCCCAACGGCCGTCAGTTCTACGAGCTATGTCGGTGACTGTCGTTCTTTTACGGATCTCCTCATTTCTGATTCGGTCACGTAGAGAAATGCCGAGCATTGTTCGCTCCATAGCTCATTGAGTGACTTTGAGCTTTTTTTATGACGCCCATAGTAAGCGACCACGTCTCAGAGCCGTAGATCATCGCTGGCAACGCGCACTGCTCGAAGACTTTTGTCTTCAAGGACTGCGGTATTGCGGACGAGAAGACGTCCCGGAGCTTCCTGAAAACTGCTCAACCGAGTCGGATTCGACGATTGACCTCTTTCTCGAATTTGGCCCTGCCTAATTGAACGGTTTGGCCAAGGCAGACATATTCGTCAACAACTTCGAGAGTAGAGGTTCCCACTGTTATAGGGGTGGGTACGACATGGACATTCGACATAAGTTTCGTCTTGTCCACGTTCATTTTTAGACCCACCTGCTGGGAAACTCTATTGAGGTTATCAAGCATGGTGCCAAGCTCTTCCAACGATTCTGCCATGACCATGATATCGTCTGCAAATCGAAGGTGAGTGATGTACTCGCCATTGATGTTGATGCGGAGTCCTTTCCAGTTCAATAACATGAAGGCATCTTCCAATGCAGTGGTGAAAAGTTTCGGAGAAATGACGTCTCCGTGTCGCACTCCTCTTTGCAATTGGATAGCCTTGTGCACTGGTCCTGGAGTCGAACCGACATAGTGGCGTTTCTGTAGAAACACTTCAGCATTTAGATATGTTGATAGTCAATGTGGCACCGTTGTAGAGACTGTAGCACCGCCCAAATCTCGATCGAATCAAAGGCTTTCTCATAATCCACAAACGCTAAGCATACTGGCAGGTTATACCCCTCAGTCTTGTGTATATATGTGTGCCGCAGCGTGTGGATGTGGTCTATGGTACTGAAGCCCTTTCGGAAACCGGCTTGTTCGAGGGGCTAGAAGTCATCGAATCTGCCCGCGAGACGGTTCGTGATGACTCGTGAAAACGTAGCTTAGAAGCGAGATGGGCCTGTAATTCTTCAATAGGGTGTTATCTCGTTTTTTGAAGAAGAGTATCACCACGCTTATATTGCACGCTTCTGGCGTAAAATCTTGGAGCAAGACTGAATTAAAGAGCCCCTGAAGGACTCTTATAGTACCGGTGTTCCACCCGCTTTCAGAAGCTCGGATGTAATTCCGTCTTCACACGGTGCCTTGTTCTTTTTTAGATGTTTCAGAGCCATCCTAATCTCGTACAGACTGATGTCCGGGATATCCTCAGTATAGTGTCGGGTGAGCTTGGCTCTAGAATCTTTAGAATCAGCAACAGGTTGAGTAATCGAGGCATATAGCTGACTATAAAACCTATCGATCTCCCCCAGTACATCTGGCTTGGACGTTACTACACTGTCATCCTCCATCTTCAGCTTTGTAAGCTGACTTTGCCCAATAGACATGTCCCTTGCGAACACTTTGGAGGCCTTGTTCCGCTCTATGGTGTCTTTAATATTATTGGTATTAAAGACCCGTATATCATGTCGCATGGACTTCCATACGTGTATATTTAGCTGTCTGTAGGCTTTAGCCTTATCGGAGGACTGCAGCGTCATATCGCGACGATTTGCCATTAGCTTGAGGGTATGATCGGAGTTAGTAAGTTGTAATTTGTTTGAATTCATTTTTTAAAAGCATCACGTGCCTACCGGCGTCGAGATCACCTGCCATCAGTCACATTTATCCTTCTCTTACAAACCACATTGTTCACAAAAAATATTTATTCGCCCTAAGCTTCGTTCATAACTTTAGATTTGCCTTTGATACATAGCGCGTTTATTAAACATTTTAGATACAGGGTTCAATAAAACTTTCTTACTAAAATCAAACTCTGACGTGTATTGGTACACTTGACTGTACTCATGATGATAAATAACTTTAAAAAATCCTAAATAATTTATTTCCCCATACCCACTGGGGAAGGTTGCGGCAACCTACTGAATACAAACAGCGCAAGACCAGTAGTTATGACGACATCCACCCATGGACGTCTTTCGGCAGAAACGATAATACTCAATGTATATGGGTAATCAGAGAGTTACATGGGAAACGAAAATTAGAAACCATGATATCTGGAGCTTTGGTTACACACTAAACAATAACAAAAGAAATTCTTACCGCCCAAGTATCTCGCACTCGTTCACCAATATTTCTCAACGACAGCCCTTGTATTTGAACCGCTAAAGCATGAGCCGTTTTTTCACTACACGATGCTTCGTCCCGTTTACATGTATCACTACAAGTAACGCTATCCTTGTCCGTCTTACTGTCACGCAGGTCGCGGCTACCAGTGCTGTCTTTTTCACTCTTAGCATCGGAGTCTAAAGTTTCTTTATCGGAAGGTAGGCCTTCTTTGTCAGTAGTGCTGTCCTTTTCACTCATATTGCCGTCGGCGTGATCGTCGTCACACGTGTCAGGAAATTCCACGTCTTCCTCGTCTCCTGAGCTTTCATCTGAAAAGATGGTTTTTTTAAAATAAACTAACTGTTTCATGGTACGATACGTTATGCTATTATACTTACTTAATATAGTCTTATCTTTTTTGAAGACGGAGTAAAATGACAGTTCATTGCGCAAAAGTGTTTATTTATTTATTTATTGAAACACTTTATTGTACCCCAAAGTAAATACCATAAGTATTGCCCGCTTGCAAGAAGCTAGTAATTGAAGTCGATAAATATTCTATCGATTATCGACCGAATATTGGTCTTATGGAATAAATAGCCAAAAATAGACCTCGGCCTATCAGTCGTCCAATTACTGAGCGCAGGTTCATTTAAAATGTCGATATTTGTAAGTTCATACATACACTGTTTTTAGGACGACGACGTCTATAAATACAAAGAGACGTATTTTAAAGCTTTCCATTTTAATTCAATTTAAATATACAAATTTGCTCATTTTTGTTAAAATGTATATGAATAAAAATTTATTTCGGTACTATTTAAGTGGCCAACTGTCAAAATAAGAATAAAGATGGCAATAACGCAATTAGTAGTCATTATAACGTCATAACATTCACAATTTAGTAATGTTTCACAAAATTTTATTTTCTTTCACAATCTACCAATAAAACTGTCGACAACAACTACATGACTATTTAAAATTTTATGAAACCTTGCAAGCCCGCAAATGTCATTTTAATCCATTTTCAAAAAAGACAGACTATAGTAAAAAGAATGATAAACACTGTAATGTTTGTTCATTTAAATAAAACAAACAAAATCTGTTATGAGTTTCAAGGGCTTTCTCATGATTTTGAGTTTGCTTATACAAGCATCTAACCTTTAAAATCCGGGCAAGCTGGGTCAGTAGCAGCAGGTACATATAAGTCAGCCAACATATAATGCGATGACGCTACTATCTGCGGATGACGTTCCACCTTTAACAATTTAATTGCATTTTCCAAAAGCTCCTTTACATATTTCGATCTATTCGTCATTCTCATATTTCTTGCGACTCTATATAGCAACATTGCCACTGGTGTCGTAAACGGATTATCCATACTATCTGGACATAATGACGTTAAGTCATATAACTTCACAACATCGTCATGTGGACCCTTAAACAACCAATATGTGTGGCCTGCCTTTGTAGCTTTCGACTTCAGGAAAGAAAGAATGTTCTGAGCAACGTTTCTTATAACTTTTGGTGAGAACTTAGAGTTTTCCATAGTGGGTAACTCTTCTGTTTTCATTGGTTCATATTTCTGGACTATACCATCTAGATGATAACACATTAGCACTTCAGGTACATTGCACATTAAGTTATCTAGCCAGTAATCTATTCCAGTCAGCACATTGATAGGTTCTCTTGCATCTCTAAGGCGAAGTGAGACACATGGCCTATCTTTGTCACCAAAAATGGGTAGATCGCTTCCTATCAGCATTTGTATATCTTCGAATGTCCAGAGAACGTTGCGATTGTAAAGATGCTCTTCGTTTGTTGGCTCTTCGGTTCTTGCCTCTTGCTCAGGGTCTGGGAGAATTGGACCTGGAAAGTAAAGTCAAGGTTAATGAGATACTTTTACGATTTAAAAACATGCACACAAATAATTTTACCATATAGGGTGTTAGTTAAAATTGCAATGATACTCTCGGTATTTACATTTTTAAGTATTAACGACATCAAACAGTGTTAGCAATGAATACACAAAAACAAGTTTTTCGTCTTCATGCAAATCAGTGATCGCGTCGTTGCAAAACGAACGTCGCTACAAAATGAATGAAAATCAAAATTTTTTTGTTGGTGAATCATTTTTTATATTCAGCTAAATTTGATGTATAAGTTTTGTCACCATTTCCAAAAAGACTGTTGCACAAACAACATTTACATTTTGTTTTTAACATATTTTGCTCCTGAATGCTTCCAGTGTCATGAAATTTTTTGTCAGGTTGTAGCTTTAATTGTCAGGCTGTGAATGAAAATGTACTGTGATTGTTAATATGTTGTGGTTTTTTTTTAGAAGAACTCTGTATAGTATGAAACTGCTTTTAGTGCAACAGAAGAGTGTTTTAAAAACATCACATATTTAAAAACTCTCTCTTACCTTCGGAGTGGTACATTTGAACTATATCCCGGGACTCACCGGGGAGGCAGATGGGGAAAGATGGTTCGCACTTGGCCGGCACAGGTTCCGTAACGCTGTGCGATAGGAACTTGTGCGTCAGCTGCAAAGCTGTACTTGGTGTTGGTGCTAGTGTTAGGCTCATGCGTTCCTGGCATGCGGAAACGGCAAAATTGTGAATTACTTGGAAAACCAATATACTTTTGTAGCAAGGCAATATTTAGAATTATGTTTTAAAACATTCGAAATTATAGGTAACAACATAAGTGTATGTCTTTGTTTTCTTTCAAGTAATCGCTGATGATAATCTACCACTACATTTTCATGTAACTTCGTGGTAGTAAGAAAAATGTCGTAAAACTACAAGATCTACTATGGTTATCAATTTTTATCAAACATCTGAAAATAAAATTGTATAAATCATTTTAATAGCATCCAAATACGTTAAAGCCGAAAATTATTTATCATTACCATTCCTGTTCATACAATATATGCAATAGTATAATAAATACCTGTTCTGACATAGTCTTAAGGATTTTTTCATAAAAAAAATCTTTCAACCAGGACCACTCCGACTTCATGAGGCAATCGTAAATGTCAAAGTCGTCCAGCAGCAGAGTGTTCTCAACGCGGTGAACCATCATGCTCACCTGGTATAACAAACATTTTAAAAATAAATAAAATGTTGGTCAATTGCACTTATCCTCATATTATTTACATTCAATATGGATTATTATAAACTTTATCTTATCTTCAGAGTGTAACCGTTTATCAATAAGGGCTAAGCTTACACAGTTATATTTTTGTTACATTTCGCATGTTATAGCACGTACATACAACACTGCACCTCCAATATTATGCAACTCTAATAAATCTCCCTACCCTGCACAACACCCGAAACTCAACCAACGTACCAATATGATTAATCATGTGTTTCCGTGTCTCGCAGATCTTAGGAGCTATGGTACTCACAGTGCCATTGGGCTGGTAGGGAAGCTTGAGCAACTTCTTGATGCACTCAGCGCCGGAGATGACGTCCACGTCACCCACACAGTCGGGAAACATGTGCGCCATCCTGAAGCTGCACACAATACGTCATACCACATAAAGTAGTTTGAAATATTGTAAGAATATAACATTAAATATAATCACTAATTATAAAAAGCTATTATTAACATGTTTTTCTAAAGGAAATCTGCCTTTTTAACTACTGGTTATTCAGAGGCAGATTCCCCTAAGACATATTGATAATGTAATAATAAATAATTAGACAAATAAAATTTATATGAACTTAGATTATGGCAAGTTATTAAAGGATATTTTGGAAGATTGTGATTGGTAGCTAAATAGTTCTTGGCAAAATATACAATATTTTCTATTAGACCCTATATGTGTATACTATTAAGGTACCTAATTTTGCAAAACATCTGATACTGGCAACTTGTCCATGTTTGTTAAGAAGACTACCATATTGCAATTTGGAACATCACTGCTTAAACTTACTAAATATTGATCTTCTATCTAACCCGTTAAAGTATTTTTTAAATTGCAGTATCAAACTAAAGTGGAAAAGAAAAAACGGAAATGCGAAAAGTTATGTGAAACTAGAATAGTTTGGATGCCAGAGATACCTTGAGAGGCCAGATTCGCTGGTAAGTATCTCCTTCAGACCATACGAGTCAATGGCAGCACCCCAGTTGGATGGAGGCAGGTTGAGGTCTGTGTTGCACTGCAGCCGAGAATACCCAACAGGACTTTGGAACGCAGTATATTTGACCACAGCCGTTGATTTAATGGCAGGTGACGGGCTGCGATCCTAAATATGCAAAAAATATTGCGTAATTACTCTCCTAAGATCAATCAAAATCATCCTCCTGAAAAAGACAGCATCCCTGACGCGCAGTGTGTGGGACAGCCTCAACAGCATCCTACAAATTTTCTAGATACTCTACAGTCACATGGAATATGTAGTGCTAAATTTGAAAGTGATATTTTCATTTGGCGTTTACGTAGTCATAGGAATAATATTATTTGGGCTTGTATCACTTCAAATATTATGTAGGTACATTTTGAGGTACATGAGGCCTCAGGAGGCAAAATAATTAATCATGATTGTAAATATCATTTATTTATCTACTTTTTAATGATAAAACAAATAGATAAATCTCACATGTCAATTATTCCACTATAATAATTTAATTAACCTTCCTAAAGTTAATTTTAAAAAACCCACATGGGATTTTTTACTATTTGACGGAATTTTATAAATTAAAAAGAGTTTATCGAATTAAATTAATTAAATGTATTAATTTGAGGTTCACCACGGATAAATCACAATGAGTACTAAAAAATAAATAAAAAATGACACGATATAATAGTAAACAAAATTATATATTATGCAAAACGAAATTATAACCAATATACCTTAGGTCGCTTGTTTTCGTTTTCATTTTCTTTATCTTCCATTATTTCTTTAAACGGAATATTCGGATAGCGTTACTTCAAAATTTTTTTTAAATAAATTCCAGGATGTCTTTTGATAATAAATTTTACAATCGGCCTTGACCACCAAAACTACCCAAATCTTTAGCACAAATTACAAAGATTTATTAGGATAGGATAATAAATTTGGCACAAATGCTTTCTAGTTGCACAAATTTCAGCTGTTTGAAGGTGTCACTTGAAATTTGACTTTTGCTGCGAACGTCTACATTCACGTAAACAGAAGTTGGCAGTGAAATTATGTGGAATGTGATTTGTATGGGAATGTGGAATGAATTGTGATTGTGAAAAGTTTTTCGCACAGACTATTAAGAGATTAATAAGGTAGTTTGCCACTGGCGAGGCGTCACGAGACGAGACGAGGATAAACGATGAATTTGCCACTGAAGTAACATATCCCGTAAATTATTATTGTATATGTTAACGGAAAAAGAACCAGATGAAAACAACTGGTTTTTAAATCTCAAATCGTACGTATCCCACAATCTCGCGATTGATATTCTCAAATATAGTGTATGATCTATGATTGATATTAAAGCCACCCACAAGTAGTGCGTGTGATGGCAAGCTACACGCCTGTCCATAACAGTTACAGTGCACTCAGAGCTTTAAAGAAGAAACAAATCGTGTTTCCGTTCCGTTAACGATAAGGTTCAATATTAAATCAACAAACAGTTCATTCCATTTCAGTTCATCCACGTCAATCCAACCAATTTACACCGAGACGGGCTAGAAGAGAATTGAAATTTTGTCATACAAATTTCAATCCATGTCTCGCCTCGTCTCGTTTTGTCTCGCCTCGCCTCTACTCGTCTCGCTTCGCCGGTGGAAAACCACCTTTAGATGGTTTTTCGTGAAGATCAACGCCTGTATTAGTGTGCATTCAAGTCAAGAGCACATCAAGCTTGACACTAAAGGCTTAAATGTAACTCCATGCCGCTTGCAATAAGAACGGTCCAAAGTACGTACAAAGTGTCAAGCTTGATGTGCTCTTGACTTGATCAAAAGCACTTCAAACTTGACACTTAAGACTTTAATCCAACTCCATGCCGCTTACGATGGGAACGGTCCAAAGTACACAGTGACAAGCTTGAGGTGCTATTAACTTACATAAAACTGCGATACCAGCATTGACCTACCAATAAATGAACGTCGGGTCCATGCTAAACAGTATCCGAACCTTTAAGGCATTGGATCGCAACTAGAGCATCAATCGTGCAGTCAGTCATCGTTTGGTGGACCAACAGCGCACTTGTCAATCATGCCGATGCATGCTGTTTAATAAAAACTTATAAAAATTAACTAGGTACACAAGTAAAATTAAAAAACAGGATGGTGTAAGTATCATATTTTCATTAAGTAGTATTATTGTGTTATTTTCAATAATCGGAAAAAGGTGTTCCACATACATACAATGAGCGACATAGAGTTGTTAAAACCGTCAAATATTAATTAACTCTTTTCCGGAAATGATTTTACTGCATCTTAGGACAAAACTACTGACCTAGAAAGACGAAGTTGGAATTTAAAGTAATATATACGTGGAACACTTGTATATACTTGTACTTGTATATATATGGAACACTGGTTTTCTGACCATTAAATAAGATCATTTAATAGTGTACAGTAGTATAATATTTCATTTATATTTAAATTAATCGTAAATATGAAGTAAAAACCAACCAAACGTACATTATACCTACTAATAAATCTATGTATGTACGTACGTTGGCATCGGGTTCAATACAAAAACTACGAAAAAAAATTTTCTGAAGTTAACCTTATATTAACGTTGGCGTTGTAACGAAAATGTATGTCTAAAGAAACTAAAACATTTAATTTAAATCGTAACGTCATTGCAGTTCTGCTTAATTTTGCCTGCTAAATTTATTGGAAACTTAATAAAATGCACCATATTTAGCTTCGAGTGAAAATTACTTGAACTCAAGAGTAATGGAGCAGGCGTATTAGTGATCAGTATAAATATGAATTCATTTATGTATAGTATAAATACGTTAAAAATACAATAGAAAATGTTTAAATATTGAAGATCCCATTAATTAAATGAAGATATAACTCAAAGAATTTGTATCCAGGCAAAAAAAAAATATTACATATATTTTAATCGGGTCGTATTCTAGAACTCTACTCAATGCTTAAGTCAGGATCTGAGTATGATTTCAAGCACTGGAAATACGACCCTAATGGCAGGGACTTGAGTATGATTTCGAGTGCTTTAAACCGTACTCAAATCCTGACTTGAGCATTGAGTAGACTCTACTCAATGCTCAAGTCAGGATTTGAGCAAACTTGAGTATGATTTCAAGCACTGGAAATACGACCATAATGGCAAGGTTGAGTATGATTTTCAGTGTTCTTTCAGTGGATTGGTTTCCATAGTCTCTCACTTTAAACCATACTCATTTGAGTATGGTTTAAAGCACTTGATATCATACTCAAGTCCCTGCCATTAGTGTCGTATTTCCAGTGCTTGTGTTGCCAGTGCAATCCTGACTTGAGCATTGAATAGAGTTCTAGAATACGACCCTAAGTTTTTTCTTAGAGGATGGAAAAAAAATATTTCCATCCTCGAAGATTTTAATGTCGAATTTTGTACAAATTCACATAAAGAAGTAATAATTATATATAAATTAATACATACATATAAATATTATAAATGTGAAAATAATGGTCTATGTGGATAGACATATCCGGGCCATGCCCGGGACGTGGACGGGCCTTGCTCCGTCAGGGGCTCAAAAAATATCGTTGCTTATATTTTGTATGAATTCGTTCACACATGTCCGTGTCCGGACCGGGGCCGGGACGGGCCCGCAGTACATACAAACAAGCACTGATGTGTGTGGATAGTCCTTTACTGTGTCTCTCTGTTTGTTAGTGATGATATTTAGAATTTTTTAATTCCAACTAAACGTAAACTTAAATATCCGTAATCCCGAAACCGATTTTTTAATAAAACCTCTATGCTTTCAGAGAATTTTGGATGTTTATCACAAAGAAAAAAATTACTTAGCGTAGGTTTGTTTTGTAATACTCCTAAAAATATATTTACACACTACACATCATAACAATTCGAGTAAATGTTAGTTCGGGACTTTTGACACTTAGGTAACGTTTGGAAGAAAATAATTTTAAAATAAGATTAAAATCAAAACGACTCATTAGTTACTTTGTTTTAAACGTTTCTATCTCTTGTGGTTCGAACAATTGAAATTGACCAGTATTCAACAATCAAATAACTAATAGCTAACTGTCCTTATGACACACATTGCATGCGCAAAATATAGTAAGACACCCGTTACGTCAACGTACACGCTATTGAAACATTTAGAACAACGAAACTATAGAATCCCATAAGTCAATGAATCCCAATGATATTAATCTTATTTTTAGCCGACTTCAAAAAAAGGAGGAGGTTCTCAATTAGACTGTATGTTTTTTTTCTTTTTTTATATATGTGTATGTTACGCAATAACTATTTGTGTGCGGATTCTGATGATTTTTTTTTCTTGGATAGAGGTAGTACATACCTCAGTGGTTGTCCCATTTAAATGTAAAGAAAATGTTCCACCTCTAAGAGTGGCAAACAAGGGGTGAATGACTTTGAGGTCGGTTTTTTTAATACTCTGTACGGCGATAATTAAAATTATTTTTGACTAAGTGTTAGTATTAGCTATAAAACAATCTATTTGTTGAAAACAAAATAAAGCAGTAGTAGACGTCTCAATTTAAATTAAATGTTTTAGTTTTTTTATAATTTTTTTATAATTATACATTTTTATGTGGCGTTTCTACTAGACCCGTCGTCCACTTATTGATAGATCAATGTAATTTGTGGTAGGCATTACCGGATAGCGAATGTCTTTCTAATGTAACAACGGTTTTCTGTGAGTATATTTGTCTATGGCTGGCAGCCATTTATAGCTATCCTCTCATCTCCCATCCTTAGCACACTCGGCTAGACAGATTTATCAAAGAGTAGGTAAATGTAGCCAAGTGTGGTGATGTAGTCATGACAGAAATTCCGTATGTTTTACAATGAATAACTTCGACAAGCCAAAATAAATATATAGTGCTTCTATTTTCTGAATGTCTCTCGGCAAACTTCGTATTTCGGCTGTAGTTGGGTTTTATTTGTATTAGTGGTCTGAGGGTTTGATTCAGTTGCCCTTTGCCTTTGGTACAGTTTGAGCGCTTTTAGTCGACTTGGAAGTATATAGAGCTGCTATTACATTTTTTATTTATTATACAATGGGAGTAAAGCTGCTAAAGTCTCAGACACGACAGATAATTTACAGCGTCTACTTGGATCATTTGCAGCGTGGAAAGTGATTATTCCATCGACGGCGAACATGTTAACATAGCTATGTCAGATGAAGAAATGCGTTCAGATACGGACTGAATTTAAATGATTAATAACAGGAAAATATTCATTTTTAGTTATATAGATAAAAGGAGCATACTTTATTTACTTTATATGTATTTTTGTTAACTTACTTATTGACATGGAGTAAATGTTACTAAAAATGGAGAGGAAATAATTTTACAGCTCTATATGGTTCACATGGAAATCGAAATAAAACAACAATAAAGTACTTTGTTCAAAATTCAAATTATTACAGATGCGTAATTCCGAAATCCGATGATTGCCAATGAATATTAAGAAAATAGAAGAACTGTATTCTCGTTATAGCACAAAGAAACCGTTTAAAATCGAATCTAATTGTTATAAATAAATTGTGTTATGTGACGTATACCTCATGTATATAATATGCGACATTTATTTTTCCAAATTCCACGTCACGTATGTGACAATTCAACAATTTCAGCCAGTGGGACCACAGAACAATATATTTGTTGTTTATAGAAGTGCTTAGTGGACGTGCCACACGTGCCAACAATACGTGGAGTTCCACGTACTTCAGCTCAGTCCGCCATTTTCGCTTTGTACGTTTTGATCATGTCAATTATCTCGAGCAAAACTTTAAAAATCGATATTGCTACTTAGGAGTACAAAAATGATAGTCACGCCTGTGTATTATCCATGGTCCTGTTGCATAATCATTGTGTGTTAAGTCATATTATATTTTATTTTAATAAATTTTCCATTTTCTGTTTGTCATAATAAACTTTTTGTACGAAACTGAACTTTTTATAAGAAACGAAAGCAAACCTCATACCACTGCAATAAATTCGACTTTTTTCAGAGAAGGTAATTAACATTTCAGCACATTGAATGAAACAATTATAAAATTAAAGCGTCGTAACTTGCAATAATTATAAGTATTGATTTTCAACGATATGCTAACTGCGTAGTTCAAATTAAAATTAGTATTAACTAACAAATGAATGTTTGTTACTTCTTAAATTAGTAACTACAACTAAATTATAAAGATTTCATAGTGTTTGACGTTATGTAAGTGTGAGTTTTGGCGACACCGATTCTGATAGTAATAAAGGTTTAAGGATTTTCCATTGCTTTTTTCTTCGTGTGTCAGTGTGTCAGCATTATAAGCTCAAAAAATTGTGTAACAATAATTGACAAATTCTAACATTCAATAATGTAATTAAAAAACTGATATATTTTAACAACTTAAGACGCATTTGCACCAATGTCTTCGGCAAGCTAACCGGTATAAAGTCTGACGATGGTAGTTTGCGGCCGCAGTCGAGTAGTTGACCGAAGCGACTGGGTGGGTGACGACCCATATTATGTGTATTTTAGACAGTTTCTTCCCATCTAATGATAATAATAAATTTACTGCAGTTAACGCTGGAACAACATTCGAATGGCTCCATCTACTACTACAAACAAGGCAATCATATAACCATAGGAAATTGATAAAATATAATTAATAATACAGTAGTCGCAGGAAAGTTGATGTAGGGTAACTATTAAGAGTCTATACAACCTCAAATGGCTTTAGTTGATACCGCATAACAGTAAAAGTGTTGAATCAATCAATTTGGAAAAATATATAGTACGTACAATTGAGGATATACGGTGTGAAAACACGATTCCTAAAAATTTTCATACAGAAAAACAAACTTACCTTGAAATTTTACAAGAAAACCACTGTATTCAATAGGTACTTTATATATACCAATTATTTTTTTTAATATCAACTGAACTAAATAGAACACGTATATTATACTGTATACATTTTTCAAATGGCTTTAATTTCGTTTGTAAAAAAATAAATTCTGAAATAAAGCCAGCATCCCTGCTCTCAGACTCAAGTAAAATGAATCGTATTGGTACGGGAAAGAATTGAACTCGAGCTAAAAGAATCGACTCATAAGCAATCTGTGTTGAAGGCATGAGATTTTTTAAAACAACTAATTGAACCCTAAAAATTATCTATTAGACGCCATTTTGTATCAGACATTTGACAGTTCAAATCGGTCCGCGCGGTCATCGTTAGTTGGATACTATTGAGTGACGCTCCGATTTTAAGCGGTTTTTCTTGTGATATTTCGTGTTAATTAACATCCTAGGATCTTCCATTTGCTTCTTTGTGTGGTAAGTAATTAAAATACCATGTAGTAGTCGCATTATCTGCTGTAAAATAATTTTTATTGTACTAAATAAGGCCGGTGAAAAATCGATATAAGGCATAGCGACGTAGTCAGGTATACATATATATATATCCGTAAAGATTTTATTTATGCGTGACATTTATTCATTTAGTTCCGCATATTATTATACTGGCGTTGAATAACGGTTCCAAGTTGATTCGATCGCGTAGGTATAGCGGCCAAATTCGCATTTTGAGTTCGTTGAACTTTGTGCAGATCGATAAGCAATATGGCGAACCGGAGACCTCAGAATAATCCTCGTCGGTCGGATTTCGGGCGGAACGACCGTGGGAAGAATTTCGGCCGCAGCGGTGTGTCGCCGTGGCAAGGGGGCGGGCCCGGTAGTGCTCTACCTAACCTCTTACCGCTAGCTGGGAATTCTACTGAGGCTACGCTCGCGCTCGCTAGCAACATAATCAACTTGCTACAGCCGCGCCAGAATCCCGTGCCCTCCCTGCTCGACATGCCCATAAGGCGTGACTTTGGTCCCAACATGGGTCGCTTTGACCGAGGTGGTTTTGGACCTAATCGGGTAAGTACTTTCTACAGAAACAGACAGTAACCTGTGCTGCAGTCAAGTCAAAAAAGTGGTTTCATAAAGTAACGGCATCTCATTAACAAGCCTAGTGTTGATAACTTATTGATATTATGCTCTAAAATACTTAATGGGAGTCTTAATTTTGCTTCATGACAGCTTTTTTTTACAATTATACCAAGACATACATTCAATTGTGGTTTATTTCAGAAATATTCTGTAAAATGTTTCATGCATGTTCTATTTGTGAGTTTACAGAAGTTTTTTTTGGCTTGTGTACTATTACACCTGCCAAAACTCTTCACTTGCCAACTGCAAGTTGCCACTACCTCCAAACAGAAGATACAATGTTGATGCCACATTTCTGTACTCAAACTTAGTTTTCAGCATCTCTTCGTTCGGCCTCAGGCCACAGAGCTTTCATACTAACACTGTATTCTGATGAATTCCCTTTAGATGGGCAATCAAAATTTCCGGCGTACGGGAAATTACAATCGCTCAGGTGAGCGCATCAACAACAATCGTAAGCCGTTCAGGCCCAATGATGGGCAAAGGCAACAAAACAAGAGTTCCCCGAAAAAGGAGGCCGATTCTAAGGCTAAACCTGTTAAGGAGAGGTAAGGATCCTGGACTGATTCCTTCCGGTGGCAACACCGACATTCTACTGTCGCCAGTGGCAGCCACACCTGATTTTACATTAGTTTTTTTTTTCACAATACATGGAAGACACTTTCATGTGAGTCTTGCATTCAATGCCTTGCAGAACTTTAGCCAAATTGGCACAACCTCAGCCTCTATTCTCTAAGGGGTATGAAATTATTTAAACAATGTTCTCAAAGTTGAAGCAAGAATATGCCTTTGTTTACAATAAACTTACACCTTGGTTTTATGTCTTCACCACAGACAAGATGAATGTCTGTGCACAATCAGGACTTGAAGACACAACTACATTGACAGATCCTTCTCTCTCTACAAGTCCTGAATTATTTTTACGTTCAATCAATGATGTTTGTGTCAGTTGGATCCCTCTTGCAATGTTTGTTGCTACTTCCTCAGTCCAGATTCATGGAGTAAGTTTCACCACTGAGACAATCATCCCTCATAACTTTTCTGGTTTCCAATTACACAAGTTAATTCATTCTCCATTTTATATGATCTTCCTGCTTGTTCTTACTTTTGCACTTTCCTTCAATTATTTGGTTATATAGCTCTTTTTTTTACATAACCCCTCAGACCTGTGTAACAGGAAACCAGTCGCCTTCCATTTGTAATCATAAAACTGACCATAAAGTTTATCACAGCGATCAAGATGACAAAAAGGACTCCAAACAAGATAATGACCAGGACTCCAAAGAAGTAGCAAAGGAGGAGAAGAAAGAAGCTCCAAAGACCCGTTATGATGACATTAATCCTGCTTTACTCAAATGCCACATCTGTAACAAGAGCATGTGGGATGGCCGATCTTTTGAAAACCACCTTAGTGGCCGTGCCCATGCAATTATGATGCAGAAGACAGCAGAAAGCTATGCATTGACTGCTGATACAATGAGACAGGAATTTAAGGTATGTACCTGGATTTTTTTTAACGGCTTGTATCTAAATTGGTTTTGAATGCGTGGTTGCAGCTTTAAATACTTATAATTAGTGCACAAGGTTTGTGAATTTAGTTAATAATTTTATACTTGAGATTATACTTCTTCCCATATTTGCTTGGTCAGCTTTGCTACAGCCGTGATAAATGATGATATTAGACTACATTATAAAAAATGTCATCATTAGCAAATAGAGCTTAAAGACATTAATAAATAAATTGACAATTTATTAGAGATTATATCATAATGACTAATGCTTAGTAATATTAAATCAGCAACAAATGTTCTTTTCAGTAATGTAATTTCAGTATGATTTCCTTCTAACAACACTATGCACATTTTAGGATTTTAAACCAGGCTGAAGTATAAAATGCATAGTGTTGGGTAATTGTCTGATTTTTTTTTCAAAATTACATTTTTCTGAAGTATCTTGGAAATATATAATTTAGAAGTATTCAGAATTCTTTTCAATGTTTGGCATTTCTTCCATGACCCTACACTAATTATGCATAATAACATAAGACGTAATGTGTATGTCTAATACCATTTTTCTCTAAACTGAAATGAACTTAAATTAGTTATCTACATGGCTATGTAAATGAAATTCTTATTCATATCACATTTCATCAGACATTCCAACATACATTCTGTAGATTTTGTTGTTTCTATGGGTTCTTTTAACTTTTGACATTACATAATGATTGTGAAAGTTACCCGTGGTTTCATCTTGGATGTTGTAATGTCCTTAGATACTAGCACAAAAGAATAAGGCGCGTAGAAATCGCTTGAGAGCCTTGGGTCAGGTAAGATCATTTATATTAGGAATGCATGCATTATGCACTAACATTTGGTATAATACATTTTCGCGTTAAAAACAATATAACGTACTCTGTAATAATTTGCTTTATTGAATGATGTTTTAATATCTTAGCAAGACATCATCCATACTTATTTCTTAAGAGCCCTCATGCCAAAAAGTTATGACGTTGGCTCCGCCCACACTCCCCGCTACCCGCGCCTGTCATTCGCCGCCCGCTACCAGTTCGTCGCAGAGCAAACCGATCAAAAGTAATTTTCGCGCGCTTATCGTCGACCCATAAACATTGAAGCCATAGAGTCGTATTCGACTACTTAAAATTTTTATTACACTTCTTTATTCAAATAAACGTCTTACCTATTTAAATATCTAACCCTAATTCTAAAGTACAATTTGAAGAAAATTACTGAATACACTGCTAAGTTTTAAATTAATTTATTTATTTGCAAACTTTACAGCTTTTAAAATTGATTTACAATTCTCTATAATCTACTTACATAGCCAATTACAAAGTTTGTCAGATTACAATTTATTTTTTTTCGTTATATAAAAACTAATTTGATGCCAGAACGAAGTGACTAAAAATATTGTTTATCAAAGAAATTGTTCTTTGAAACAAATTGTTTGTAACAAATTGAAATACATATTGATAACATATTATAACTGAATTCCGTTGTATTCATAGATTTAGACATTAGTTTTTAATTACAATATTTTTTAAATGAAGCGACTTATAAACAAATTGACTATAGTAGAGTATGCGCATTTGTGTGTCTATATGTGTGAAGGTGTATGTGTATAATGTGTGAATGTGTGTATGTCTATGTAAATGTCTGACAAATTTCTGCATTTTCATTTTTTTTATAGTTTTTTAGTTTTTTTTAATTTTTCTAGGCAAGCCAAACGACAAGGCTGAAAAAAATTCATTTCGTTGTCGTTTTCAATTAAAATACAAATTGATAGAAGCCATGCCAAAAATGTCAACCTATTAGCATATTAAAATAGACTAGGTTCAATGTAAAGATTGAAGAAAAGGAAGAGAAAGATAAATATGTTCTACAATTTATTTTAGTACAATTTAACAAGTATTATTTCTCAATTAAAATATTTAATTTGCCAAGAGCCCAGGCCCATGCATATGGACAAATTCATATATTAAAGGTGATAATTTATCTTTAATGCAACGTTTCGTGTGCTTAGGAGGTAGTTTTTTTAGTCGCTCTGATAATAAGTTTTTCGCCGAACAATATCACCAACATTAAAGCCATACTTTTTACGACGAAGATTATAAGGGCCACAATTCAATTTCTATCATGCGACCTATTAAAGAACTTTGTACATGATCGAAATTTTCTCTAAGTTTACCGGTATTTTCCGCATATTCGTCCCTAGGCGTAAAAAAATCTGCGGATTGGAATAAAGTATAAATCATACTGTCATTTCTACAAATATTATATATTTATAATATGTAATGTAAAACATGTAAATGGTAACGTCATATCAATCGTGTGACCCGCGAAAGCGGGAATAAACTAATTTAAATGTTATTGTGCACGTAATAAGACCTAAAATCGTCTGCACGTCCTTCGCTCTTATACAGGTGAATTTTCAATCCTATTACTGATGAAATAAAAATTCGTAAGTTTAGTTAGTTTAGTTTATTCGTAAGTAAGTAAGCGCTTATGCACATGAAAATAATATTTTTTATTTTACCGTTCAACATAGGTAGGTAATTCACAAACTTACCTTCGACAATTAGCCATCAATATTGATAATTGACGATGACGATTAAACAGTTCAGCCGCAAATTTTGTCAACGTCCTCTCGTCTCAACGGAGCGATAGTGACTAATTTGTGAAACAAATATATGCTTGAAGTTCCCATGACATGCGACAGGAGATGTTATTGTTTGCGCGTTAAAAATGTCGTAAGTGCCAAATTCGTTTTAGCGGAATAACTCTAAAACTAAAGGGATTAAAAAAAAATCCGTAACGACAACAGTCGATCATGCATAAATATCATTAATTATCTAATTTTTGTCCTAAAACCCGTAGCATTTCGAGAATAAATCGAAAAAATGTGAAAAGTAGAGGTCCTTTCGTGATTTTTATCTATCGTGGAAACTTTATTGTTTTGTGTTTCTGATTAACGTCTGTGCTTGATATATCGTGTAGTTACTCGTACAATATTTTATTTTTAACTTTAAAGTGGATTTTCCCTCTAAAATCATATCGAAGATTAGGAATTTTTCCTCTGCTCCCACTTAAGTTGCAAAATTGTATATTGTATTTAGTATTGTGTATAGTATTGTATTGTACTACGTACTACAAATGAATTGTTAAATTATTTAAAGTCTGGAATTGAAAAAAAATTTGTACTTTACTTGGTGCTTTGTTAAATACTTGATTTTGTAAGGGTGCGTTTATTCGACACGAATTTCATCGCGCTCACGCCGCGTAACGACCGCGTGCATCTAACTGTCATGGCAAAATACACTCTATTCGTTTAGCTTTTACGTTTTAACTTAAATGAGTGTCACGGCGGGCGAGTCTGGCTTGTCTTTGGTCTACGCGGCGTCCGTACGGTTTCCACGCAGCTTCAGCTTATTGCCTAGTAAATAGAATTCAGATTCGCCATTAACGTACGTGAAATCGTGTTAAGTGGGCGGTCGCCGCGCGAAATCTTTCGCGTCGTGTAATTGGGCGCTAAAGTTTCACATTTCCATAACAGCTTTATTGAACTAATGTACAAACATTAGTTACCAACATTTCATGGATTAATATTCGAAATAAATGGTCGCGTAGTTTAATTTATATTTATTATCTTTTCATTGCTCGAGTATAAAATTAAGTGTTAACTTATAGTTAAAATTGTAGCATGCTTGTAATTTTTGTTCAATTGTTATTCTAAAGTTAGTTAACATCATGCTAATAAATAAACAATATCCATAGATCCGTGAAATGAAGCGTACACGCAAGAGCGGCCAACAGCCTGCGCGCGATTTCTACTGCGCCATGTGCGATATGTACGCCGCCGACGGAGCTGTGCACCGCACCACAGTCGGCCATCGCAAGCTGAAGAAGTACCTGCATCCATCTTGCACCTCTTGCCATAAGGAGATGCCTACTAGAATTGAGCTGGATGAGCATAGGTATTTATTTATTTTACTGAGGGTTCGAAGTAACAATTACACGATAATTAATAATAACGCACACACTCAACATACTCCCGCACTAGGGAAACCTTGTGTCGCGGGTGCCATGGACTCACATAGACAACCACAAATTACACCCAAACTCACGAGATAAACAAATGTAGGACATACAAATATTTCTCCCGGCCCGGGAATCGAACCTGGGACCTCTGCGTTGCAGTCCGGCATGGCGGCCATTCCGCCACGGAGGCAGTTATTAATTATCTTTACAGATATACCGTGATATTTATTTTTATATTAGTAAATTCAACGGAACAACAAAATGTTACCACACTAGCAATATCGTGGCCATGTGTTTGCGCCAGAGATGTATCCAAACATGTGAAATGTTAATCTCAAAAAAGTGACAAACCAAATCGTATACACAAAGAGTTTCCTTCGTCTCTATTTAGTTTTCTCACTTGTTTGTACATTATTTGTCAATTTTAGTAGAGATGGACATGGTTTAGTAGAAACGGATATCCGTTACTACTGGATGTCCAAAATTAAGAAAAATTCACAATCGGTACGCCAAATAAATTGATTTATTGATTAAGGAGCTGAATTAGCTTTGACTATATTAAAATTTCTAGTGAATTGTATTGAAGGAAAAAAGCAGACTGCTTTTTTTTCTTTCTCCACCATGAGATATTTGCATTCAGTACAACAAAGAAAGAGCACTGATATTAAAATTTCATTGCTCTCATTTTTCAAAGAGACTTAGTCTTTTAAAGCCTTTTAAAATACCTCGACTAATTAATTCTTAATGCCTCACGACTAGTCTCGTCTTTTAACCCTCAAGGGTATGAGTCATGAGACTAAAACTGAAGACTAATTCGAGTCGAAGTCTTTAACCCTAGGAAGCTTAAAAGACTTATAGGACTAAAACAACTAAAAAGACTAAAACGACTAAAACAATTGGCGCCTCATAGCCTCGGAAGTCTAGTATAGTAAGTAGCGTATGGCGTGATTTTATTTCTACCCACAAGGTATTTATTTTACGATTTTTGTATAAGTAAATAAACGTGACTATTTACTACATCCCACTTACGTCATTTTTATTTATAAACTTCAGGTTTAATAAGACATAAAATAGGTATAAGTCCTTTGCAAACAACTCGAGTCATTTAAGTCTTTCAAGACGTTTAAGTCTTTTGAGTCTTTTACTATAACGACTGAAACTGAATGACTGAAACGACTGAGTCTTATTAATAAAAACTCGAATCCCCAGTCTTAATTTTAGAGTCGAGTCCTGTAAAATGGAGTCTAGTCGTTATAAAACGCCTTAAAAGACTCAGTCTCTGTCATCACTAGTATTTGTTCGTATTATCGAATAAATTTATCCTTTTAACATAAACCCAATGACCACAACAAATCTAATCGCCAATGTAAAAGTGCAATCATTCACGAATCAGTCAATCACGGCAAGATAAAGCGGTCGCGACATGTTTGCAACACACACACGCACCCGCGCACGCACACGCACGCACGCACGTACGCACGCACGCACGCACGCACGCACGCACGCATGCACGTACGCACGCACGCACGCACGCACGCACGCACGCACGTACGCACACACACACACACACACACACACACATACGAATGTAATTGTATGTGTGTGTAACGAATGTGAATGTAAATAAGTAAGCTTAAACTGATTATTTTTTTTGTCATACAGACTCTCTGCTGAGCATTTGAGGAACAGACAGGACAAACAAGAAGATATCACCAAGCCCAAACCAGAAGGTAAATTCACAGGACCATTTTCAAATAGAAACGAAACAATGGAAAAAATTAAAACAAAGATCGAACACTAAGAAAAAATTTCTTCTATCTGGCTGGATTCGAACCAACGTATTCCAGCAAACTGAAGGATTTTGTTTTTAATGTTCGATCTTAGTATTAATAATTATTACAAACTAGTAGCGTAATATCACAAAAATAATTGAATGTCATGATGGTCAAACATCATGACTTAAAAATATATACATTACTTTCCTTATTTTTATATTCCCTGTACTATATTCTGGCACTTATACCAGAATGGAAAGAATGGAATTAACTTCAGGGCACTACCCAGAACGCTCAGACAAGGACCAATTTAGAAAAGGTCATTTCCCCAAATTGGTCTTACCGCGTATCGAACACTCCTCATCCAGCGCCCACAGTGCAAACTGCTGATCCACCGAGATCGTAATCAGTGTGTAGAGTGATCTATTAGGCTCAATTTATATTGCGGCGGAGCGGAATGGTAGCGAATTTTTGTAACATTATTGTACATAACATAATGAACTTTATGGTCAATTGCGTAACGTTCAGAGTCAAGAGCACGTCACACTTGACACTTAAGATTTAAGTCCAACTCTATGCCGCTTACGATAACAACGGTCCGAATTACGAGGTGTCAAGCTTGACGTGCTCTTACTGTACAAACTACATGATACGAACCAAAATGTTCCGCGGAATGCACGAGCATTCTCGAGCGTGCGGAGAATTCCGCGGAACACCTTGGTTCGTATCTTGTTGTACGTTACACTATTTATAATAAACCATAAAGTTCATTATGCTATGTACAATTTCGTTACGTTACGTCACGAAATGAGCCTTAGTCTGTATGTTTGGGTTTGTACCCCCAAAGTTTTGTTAATCTAGCACAAAGCTGCAGAGAAATACCAAATAGGATTGTCTGCTAGATTTAATCAAAGTATTGTATTGTCCCAGTGATGGTGATCTCTACCCTGAGCATGGAGCAGTCGTATCTGCGCGACGAGCGTCACCGCCGCCGTCGTGACGACCATGAAACTAAACAAGAGCCAAAGGACGACAACCAGGTCAGTTTCGTATAATAGTATCTATCTATCGACTAGAAAGTTTGCCTGGACCGCAGTGAAAGAGGTATTTTTGCTCATTGTTAACCAACTTCAAAAATTCAAAAGACAATTCGACAGTTTCTTTGTATGTATATGGACCGATTTTGATGAATATTGATATTCTTCTTGTAAAGAGGGTACTTTAGTATTGGTCCCATTTAAATTTCAAGGAAATATTCCACATCGAAGGGTGGCAAACTTCAATTTTATAAAACATGGCAAATAGGTGTCATTCCACGAATTTTTGTCGTCGGTTTTTTTTTAAAAACTTTGTTAAACAAATTTGTCAAATAGTCCACTTGATGGAAAATTGCCACCGAAACACGATACTAAGGCCTGTATTAAGAAATACCTTTCAAATACAGGATGGATATAATAAATAAATAAATAAAAATTTCCTTTATTCACTGATTACTTCTAAATTAATTCTAAGTCTAACCTAATGGTTACTTTTAACAGTAATAAATTTTAATTGTAACATCACCTTCGGTTCTGTTTCTAATCGGGTTGTCTTCTGACATAGGCCTCCTCCATATTTCTCGATAAGCAACGGTCTTGTGCCGACCGGCGCCATTCTCGGGGCAGATCGTCTTCCCACCTTCTTGTTGGTTTTCCTCTATACCTCTTTCCATCTCTTGGATACCAATGTTACACCTTTTAACCACTTTTGTTGATTCTACCGTGTTTCCACACCAGCGCCATTTCAGTCTTTTGACTTTCGTTGTGATATTCATTTTCTTTTTAAAATTAATTCCACCTTCCCCTTTCCATCATCGGGGCACCAGATGTAGGCTTGGGTACCACCTCTATGTTGTGGATATTCCAAACGTTCGCACGAAGTGTTACGCTTCCACATTTATATGGCGAACGGCTAAGGAGTGGAATTCTCTGCCTGCAGACTTGTTCCCTGAACGTTATAATTGGACCTTTTCAGAGGAGAGTGAATATGAATTATTTAGGCGCGCATGCTCGATCGTCGACCTCATCGTCACTTTCCATCAGGTAAAATCATCGACTATACGGGCTGTATATTTGAAAGTGGGACATATTTATAGAGTGCGTTATATTCCTGATTCTCAACCCAAAGAAATAATAAACTAATGAACTTAAACTTTACAAAAAATATTTTTTAATTTTTTTTTATCGACTACTACTTGAGCACAACATTAGTTATCGAAATCTATGCACATCACTATTATTGCTTCGACGCAGCGGCGAAAAGCAAAGCACAGGTCGGGGGTGAGAACGCGGGCGCATACGCGAAATTGCTCAGTCCACGCGCGACCTTGATCTAATGAAGACACGTAAATTATTTGTCCTTCCGCTCGCCCGATCGCCGCAAAATGGGTATTTATTCTAACGTGGAATTGACTGAGATGGTGCGACTTTACGCAATAAGTGGTGATAGTGTGAGGCAAGCTATTGAAATGTTCCCAAATCGGAGTTTACGCGGAGAAGGTGAACAGTGTTTCGACACTGTTGCGTTGCGTGAGAGGATTATCTCAGCATTTTATACTGTGAGACAAAATGTGTTTGTGTTGTACAATTTAAAACATTATTTACTATGCCATGCTAGGCTATGCATTGTGGAAAACGGTGGACATTTTGAACACTTGCTCCGTACCACGTAAGTGTAAATAAACTGTAAATAACTAAAAAATCAATCATTGTAATTAATTTGATTTCACATTTTTAACTACGCCAAAAACCTCAATTCTTATTAAATGATAACTACTTACTAAAACATTTCGATGATAGTTCAAGTAAAAAACAATTAACATAACCTAAAACGTAAATGTGAAATCATTGTTATTGTTGCTGTCTCACTCGGCGCTCGCTTGGTAGCATTCCCGTCGCACTCGAAATTAAGCGTAAAGGGAATCGGTTTATTCCTATCTACACTTCAAAACACATTTGTTGATTTATTTTTTGTTCTATCCCATATCCTAATTTTATTTTAGTCTATGTTAAGTTGTAACATGATTTACTATGACATGTATGAATATGTCTCACTTTCAAATATACAGCCTGTATAACCAGAAATAGAGACGAAATAAGGGCTATATATTCCTGGTAACACATTAGCGATACAGCTCTTATAAATATCAACCCTCGTTTGCACTGAAATATAGACAGGCCCATCACTGACCTGTGTGTATGTCTCCATATATTCCAAAAAATATTCTGTATTTATTGTAATAAAGATAATATCTCTAACAATGCCGTGTTGTTCTATTCGGTGGTGTGGGAAAAACAGCATAACATCTAATTACAAGACAAACGGAATCACATTTCATCGGTAACTAAATATTAAATATGTAATTTTGCAATTTTCGTCCATTATAGCAAAGCTCAAGTTAACTGGTCGATTTGAAGTGAAACAGTTGACGACACCTATTGACGACACCCGTCAATTGTTTCGAACTCGAGCTAGCCAATCGGAGCGCAGTTGTCACAGTAATGATATGGCAGAATAGTTTTCAAACAAATTGAATGACATTTCGTCTCTATTTCTGGTTATATACTCTATGGGTGAGATGGACTCAAAGGCGCACTTACATTTCATTAAAAAAAAACAATATTTGTACTAAACTTCTTTGGAGTGAATGAAATCAGATTCACTTCGGTAATTTTTTTAAAATTAGCCATTGCTCTTATCACAGTGATTGGAATTACAGACACATGGGACTTGTTAATTATGTCTCAGGGTGTCGGGCGCAGTGGCGGTGCCCCTCAGATCTTTGTGATTTAAAGCTCTGAGTGGCACTGCAACTGTCAGGGACAGGCGTGTCGCTTACCACCACCAAAATTTGTCTGAGAATACCCACAACATAGGGGTGGAATCCCAGCCCACGTCTAGTCCGCCGATAATGGAAAGGGGAAGGCGGAATCAAATTATGCAATTCCATTGCACACTCTCCGTGATATATCCTGTAGAATACCGATAAGCAGGCGACTTTACGGCGGTGTTTCAAAGCTCTGCAGCTTCGCCTCAACTAATGCCGAATCACCTATAAGCCTTTTGGCACGCTAGTCGATTGAATCCAAGGTGGCCAGTTCGTATTTAGCATAGCCATCCCATAAGTGACAGCAGTACTCCATACAGGACTGGACTTGTGCTTGGTACAGATGAAGCAACAAAAAATATAGGAAGAGCAGTGGGTTTAATCGATACATGGTTTTGCAATAATATTTTCAAATTAGAATTTCTCAAAATTTGCACCTATTGTTTTTAACATGTAAACAATTATCATAGGATAACGCTGAAAAGAAGGATACAGAAGCAGAAGGCGGTGAAGTGAAGCAAGAAGGCGAGGACAAGCAAGAAGTAATCGATAGCGAAAACACCATCGTCGATTATAACGAGGGCGATGATTTAGCTGGCGTCACCAAGGAACAGTTCCCCACTTATAGGTTGGTTGATTATCTTATCCTTATCTCAGTGGTCACCATAGATTTAGATAGATGGATAGATATACACTTTATCGCACACACACACACAAAAACAAGAACAGTACATAAACAACTTAAAACTAATGTGGGCTAAGGCGGTCTTATCGCGAAGAGCGACTTCTTCCAGACAATCTTTGAAGTAGAGGAAAGCTAATCGGAGTGGGAGACGTATGCCAATGAATAAAAACAAATGGATTGTATAAATAAAAATCACATTACAAGTAAAAAAGTTACTCTTCAGTCATTTTCAATAATAATAATAACACACTTAACATAGCCCCGCACCCTGTATTGTGCCGCCGGAAACCCTGTATCGAGGTCGCCATAGACACACACACAGACAACCACAAATTACATCGAAACTCATGAGAGAAATAAATGTAGGTTGTACGAATAAATCGTACATGTCTGTTCTTAATTTAGGTCGTAAACATTATGCTTCCTTTATAATAAATTTTAGTGTACATCACGCACTCAGCGGAGTTAGTCGTTTTAATTACCTCCGTCTATCACCTTATCATATTATCAATATCACGATCAAATATCAAAGATTATCATCATTCTTATCAATTATCATTATATCATACATATATATTATAAGTATATTAATGTGTAAATGTGCCTAAATAAACTTACACTTACTAATAAATATTAGGGGTTAAAGTATGAAATTGCCGTTTTATTGCAATAGGTT